AAATTTATCGCGTGTGGGCATGGAAAAAATTACACTTTTTAAAATTTGATTTCATCCTTGAGAGTTTAGCATGCAAATTTGTAGACCGCGGAGTAATGTAGTTTTCCAGATTGTGAATTCTTAGAGATAGGACAACCTTGATGCCGGATGTTGTAAGCCCAAGGGATGACGATTTGATGTGAAAATAAAACGATATTCAGTGTGACGCATGTAACGATTCGAGCGTATCTCGGGATCTTGATGGATCTGACGCAGCTGATCGCGATAAAGCGAGGGGAGGGCGAGCTAGCCTAGTCGCCAGTCAACCAGCAGTCGTTGGCAGGAATAAACTTGAAAAAGCGCTAGCGTGCACTCAATGCCACAAAGAAGCGCGCTTGGAACTGAGTCAGGGAAATATGAAAAGGTCAACCCTCTCGTCGTCTCGCCGACACGCGTACGTTGTTGATCCAATTTGTATCGCATTTGCATCGCGGTTCTCGCTGCGGTTGAATTACTAACTATCCGGTTAACTATCGGCCGATTATACGCCGAATACGTGATTTCTTCTTCGTGCGCCGCCGGAGACACGAATCTTCCGCATAAATTTCCCGTTTGACCGTGTTTCCCCGCATAACATATGCGCAACAAATCGTCGTCGCCGATCAGTTGCGTCTTGTAATTTATATGCCATACAGACATTTTGACCTACATGTGATTAAAGGGACAGGCATAAATTAACCTGTCAAACTTTAATTAATATTTAATGAATTGTTTTATAGATTTAGATGAATAATTACACAATATAAATTTTCCACTAAATTCAAAACATAAATATCGATTATGTTGACTTGGAAATGACACACTTTAAGAGTAAATAATTAAATTCTCATCAGTTTTGTAAGAGCTATTATGTTGGCGAGAACTTGCGTCACTAATTTTAATTAAAATTTTACAGGCGACACGGCTGATTGAAAAGCACTTTGCTATTAAAATGATCCCTTCGGCCATTCTAATTAAGCGCTTTAGTTAATCATAGATAGTTAGTCAGCGATCTATTTCGATCCCTATGCTGTGATACTAACGGTAAATGAGAAAAAGAAAATACGAGAGCACGATTGCTTCGATCTCCGCAACACTCGGTCGATATTTTTAAACTGCCACGCCGAGAGAGTTAATCGAAAATAGTTGCGCACTTATTGTTAGAAATGTACTACATTTGACGATGCTCCGAGCACTTTGCAATAAAATGGCGAGTCGGAGAATAGTGGCGAAATATATCTCTTGCGTTTTCGCTCGCATTTATTCCGAATCGCCGCGAAGCCATTTGCAATCAGACGTAACTTGATTTATGAAAGAAAAGAATAAATCAAGATTAAAAGTAAAGCTCTCCACGACTGGACAGAATTCTTAATCGCGTTTCAAAATCATCTTGATAACGATTGCACTTCGAGTTATTACCTTTTTCAGTCTGCACGCGGAATTAACTCTCGATAATCGAACGGCAATGTAAGCTCTCCGCTCCATTTTTTCATATTTTGTTACATTGTTCCGCAGAGATTCGCATTATGTAAAATGTAGATAAATATTCGATCTTGAATTTTCTGCCCTTGATATTCAGCCTTGAATTTCCTCCTGATGTTATTCTTGATCAACCTCATTGTCAGTGAAAAAAGAAAGATAAGAATGCATAATGTGATAAAACTTCAAGATAACAGACGTATTTAAGAACAAATCAGAAAAATGTAAAAAAATATTCAATTCTAAGAGTTTCTGTACTTTTCGTTTACATTGCTGGGTATACATACGTAAAATTCAACTTACAAACATGACACGTACTTTACTGGTGATATACGTTACAAATAAGGAAGCACTTTCGTAAGAGTACAGTGTTCCTCGAATGGGTTTGCAGAAGGGCGGTCACCGAAGGGAAAAACCGCTTCGCCTTCACAAAATTACGCGTTACAAGGATTTATGGGCGACAACATGGAGAATGTCGGCTACACGCGCGAATCAAGAAAAATAACACGTGACACATACATACGGGGGAGGGTTATTTTAACGAGTGTAATGCCCGGCGTTAAAGAAGAGTTCGGAAATGGAACGAAATCCGATAGCAAGCCGACGGCCGTGAGAACCACTTTGCCGATGTGCTGCTCATCGAGGAGGTAGATAAGGTGTAGCCAAGCAGGCTTTGCCTTTTTCACACATCGTGCTACGTAAAGGCAAAGGTTCTTATAAAGAACGGAATTGCTTTCTCGAGAAACATGCCTCGCTTCTGAGGCAAAGAACGTATGTACGTGTAGAGCTTGAATTACTTTTACCAGATATATATTTCTTAGAAGGATGATTTCTCCCGCAAGATATTCGTCTCCGTCTAAATTCATAATTCTGAATGGAATAGCGGCGCAGGACACATTCTTCGCTTCCTACGAAATAAAGTGATTTATGAAACCATTTTGCACAAAATACGGGCACTTTATTATGTACCTTCTTTAGAGTTTTGTAATGAAAAAAAGTCGAAAGTCCATTGTGTAAAAATAATTACACACAAAATTAATTGATACAGACATAATCTTGCTTTTGATGATTAATATCAAAAAATTTCGTACAATAGGAGTAACTCAAGACGCAAAACTTTCGAGCGAAAAGCATCATAAAATTATCAGCAAAAATCTGAAATGAGAGTATGTACGCGTATTACAGGAGTAGCAGAAATGTGTACATTAGAGCGACAAGCGAAAATAGAGTCGAATCGGGTACAATGGCCAAGGTCGAAATTGTCCATTAAAGCGGAGCTTATGACAGAAACTTCATCATCCTTTATCTCTCGTTTTTTTCTAACGAAAATATTTGCCAATAACGGGGTTGAGTTTGTTGAAAAACATACATTGACTACGCACATGAGATGCATGAATTGTAACAAAATTTTTTACAAGCTTATTCTTCCGAATTAATATTTCCGCCATTTTAAGCTTGCCTAACTTTCAGTAATACTGTGCCACGCATAAAAAAAAAATACAATACTTTTTATTTAAAAAAATAAAATTACTCTCGATATTTTACAGTTAATTTTTTTTTGGCAGTGTGTCAATTTTTCATTCAACTTTCTGTTATATTTAGAATAGAATATTGTATTTTTTAAATCCAGTTTTATAGACACTATCGAGATTTAAACGATTTGTGTTGCAATATAATCAAAAATGATTTAAATTAAAAAATAATAAAAAATATAAACTTCCAATTCACAAAATTAATTTTCTCGGAAAGTCCTGCATGAAACAAATTTTATTCTACACTTTTGATAAATTTTTTCACATAGATCATCTTTCTGGTTGCATCAATAACGAACTATTCTATATAAAGAAAAAGAATGAGAAAATGCTTATGCTATAGCAGAGTATGATGTAACATGAATGTAAACTGGATTGAGACTTTATTTCGTTGTCCAGTGAGAATTCATTCAATGAATTCATAATTTCCCATAGGATCTATTCATTCAACACGTGTACCGTGATGTGAAAAATGTTAGGAACAAATTAATATTTAACGAGATATGTATTGACAAAAATAAAATTAAAATTGACTTTTTCATTTTTAAATGAGAGGTATTGTGTATTTTTTGGCGATAAATATTTTAATATTTTTCTCATTATGGAGCGGTAAATAAAATAACTCTACAGAAATTTATAATTTGATTTTCATATAACATGGTGTACATTATTTGTTTGCCTCGAATGAGCTCTGTTCCTATTCATTTTGATGATTCGCCAGGGGATATTTTAACAGATAAACTGTGGGCGTCATTTGTCTCGCTCACTGAATTTGTGTTTCAGCCACAATCAATTCCTGTTCACAGTTATATAAAAATAAATAAGCCAGTAAATTACGAGTAATATATATGTTATATCATAATTTAAAAAAATAAGACGAATGAAATATTTTATATACATTGCTTATTTTTATCCTCTTCTTCACCAGTTTTTATTAAATGAGAAAATAAAAATAAGTGCGCCGTGAGAGAAAAAAATGTTTGCTTTATACATAGCAATTATACAAATTCTTTTCTTAAATAATTTTATCTACATATATTTTTAAAATCTTAGAAAGCACAAATATATTACATATTTGATAAAATATTTTGTTTTAATCTACATACTGAGTTGGAATGCTACAGAGAGAACAACATTGTAATATTAAGTGTAATTTAAAGTAAAGTTTTTTTCTTATTATGTTCCTATTACATTTCATATTATGTTCTTTGAAACAAGTTAATAAAAATCTTTAATATTCGCTTTGTGATGTTCTCTTTGGTACACTTTATTTATCTGTGAAGGCGATGGGAAAACCACGATGTGCCGCGCTATATACGTGCTTGCATTACGTGCACGGCATCGATAAGTCTTCGTTCTCGTTTTACTTTGAAATATTAATTTATATGATATCCACCTCGCAAACAAAGTCTGAAGTTGAACTTATGATTCACGACATCAATATCAATGATATCAATGAAAAAGCTTTCTTTCTTTGATGCTGATTTTCCCTTGGAAGCCTTTGAATACATTAGAAAGAAATCGAGAAAAAAGAGAAATATCATTGTACACTTTTCAAACATTACAACGTTTTACTTTGAGATCTTTGATTTTTATTTATACTATTTCAAAGTCTTTCTTTAGAATTTATTTTAATTATAACCCCGCAATTTTCTAATCTTTTCACTCAAGAAGAGATTGAACTTCTTCCATCTTTTAAAATTAAAGGTTAAATTATATTTTTATTTATCTATTCATATCACATTTATATCACATGCAAATCAAATCATGTTAAAATAAAATATATTGTTGCAAAAGATACTTATCATGAATATTTTGAACTTTATCATGAAGAATATGAATATATTTTTCTGTTGCCTTTGAAGGATACTCAAAAATGTGTTGCTCAACCATTTTTAGAATTACATTTCTATGTGAATTTCAAAATGAGATTTTTCATTAAAAATATATCTTATCTGTATGTTTTCTTACCGGGTACATAATCACGGGGTGCATTATCCGGCGGTAAACAGAAGTGAAATATAAACGGAACGAACTGAATACACAGTGTTCGCGCGGCGCGAGTTTCCGTAAGAAAGTTTTTAAAGTTCCGCGAAACGGTATATAGCGGATCACGCACGCACTCGGCGCGAAAATCGATAACAATGAGGCCGGGAAAGCGAAGCGAGGAGGAAAAAAAGAAGAGAGAAAAAAAGTGGAAGGCCAAGGCGTGCGGACACGAAAGCACTCGGGAAAATACACGCATGCACGCACGCACTGATGTTCCGCCGCAGCGCACAGTTACAACCAGAGCCACGTTCTCACGCCACGGAGGCTCGCGCAGCACTGACTCTTTCTACTAGCTGCTCTCTCCGCCGTGGCTCGCGCCGCGAGAGATCGGAGTGAGAGAGAGAGAGAGAGAGAGAGAAAGAGAGAGAGGGGGGGGGAGAGGACGGTGCACATATGGTGGAGAAAACTAGGACTGGCATAGATTAATAAGTAATCAATGAACCGGAAATCGGATAATATCGTATCATTTGCACAATACAAATTCGCTAAATAAATTCTTGCTAAAGAAAGCTCGAATCTGAATTCATCAGAAAATCCATTTGTCACTAAAAGCAAAATCGCGAATTGCAGGAAATTCTGTACAACGCAAAGTTTATTTTAATATGCAAATAATATCGGGAAATTTAATAACATGCAAAGTACATATAATATTGCAAAATTCATAATAATGAAATATGACTGCCTTTACTATTCAAATATGTCGATTTTTATTTATATCATTGCATTAAATTATTAAACAATATTTATATTATATTATTAGCGAGAAAATATAATATTATTATAAACGTTTATTTATTTATCTCAAAAAAGCTTTAGTATAGAAATAGGGCAAATTAATGCTATCGATCCAAAGTTTGTTTAATTTTGTGGACTCAGCAAATTGCTGAGAGTTTTGTGCAGCGCGAACAAATCGTAAACAATCGGCCGTTAATTAAAAAGGCAGCTACGGTTGACGGACGATTGCCGTTTCATTATAATTACTAATCGCTTTTATTGGCAGCTGCGTTCGAGGACAACGCGCTAAGATCGACCGATCGATTATCCGTAATCAAATAAGTTACACTCGAGCAGAATTTCGAAAGGTCAGGCGAGCGCTGCTCGCTCATACGGCCACCCTCATCACCCGACGCAGGAACTCTTTACTCGCTCACTTGCTCACCAAAGCTTCCGTAAAGGCTTAGATCTGGAGCTAAAGAAGATACACGTGATCGACTTGTGTGACGAAATTACACTTGTGTGCGCGGCGTAGCCTATTTCTCCATAACCGTTGTTATTATTGCCGTTTCACGCATAGATTAGTTATCGACTGATTTCTATCGTTATAATTAATTTTATGCCATAAATGTAGATAATTAACTTCATTGAATAACGTATCTATAAAGTTAGCAAGATGCATTACAAATTTACAGTAATATAGCTAATTACAGTAATATAGCTTATAGTAACAACAATAATAATGCGATCACATCGTGTTCTATGTTACTATAATGTGTTCTAATTACACATTATTAAATTATTACGTAATTAGATATTATTGTTATTATATTATTACGTCATCATTAAAATTATAAATCTTAACATGCAATAATAATTTAAACCTTTTAATATTCTGTATGAGAAGTATTAAATTTTGTCTTCTAATTTAGACGAGTTGAATATAATTCTCTTTAGCGCGGGCATACGTCAAACACGTGTTGCTACGCAATTCGTTACGTTAGCGGCGCGCATTTGCTCGTCGAGAGACGGTTCGTTGAATGCCAAGGGCTTAATTTGTGCGGAACGGGAGATTAATCTTGTTTTAAAGCGATTTTGATACGTAAAGCGCGATTGTTTTTCTCTTCTCGCAAGGGACGGGGATTGTCGAGTGCGACATTCTAATGGCGCGGTTCAAGCGTGCTCGAATTAAGGATGAATTGTCGCGTGCACGCATGGAAAAAATATTCTGCCGCTTTGACGTTTGACAACGAAATAGTAGTCTCGAGTGTACACTCGACACACGCATTGCAATGCGGCGCGTGTAACTAACAATACTGCCATTGCAACAAATTTCCTGGAAAAAGCATTTATATACAAGATGAAGCGCTTGAAGTTACTTCACTTCTATCGATTGTCAAAACACTGCTACAATTTGGATATATTTTTGTTTTTCAGATCATTTGATATATACTCTGGATGCATCATATACTTCGCTGCTGCTTGATTTGACCGATCGGTGAGTGTGAGATTATTTTTATATTGAGACATTGGATCTGAATTAAGAAGATTAAATTTAGATTAAGAACGTATTTTAAAATATCATAAACACTGAAATATTTTATTGTTATAAGGAAATCTATTGAAAATTATCAACAATATTTCATATTATTATAAATGGATGCAAAGTTCCAAAATGAATAAAATATCTTGATTTACATCAATATTGCTATCTATATACAAAAGTCGATTAAATAACAAATTTAATTTAACTAACTTAATAACTTGAGTAAAATTAATTAAAAACTAAAACAAAAAATAAATTTTTATCTTATCCATTTGCATTTCCGGAGCTTAATTCGTGCGAAAAAGTTTTTCGCTTATAATTGATTTATATTATTTAAAAATTATTGATATTTCAATATATTCTACCGTAAGAATTTTTCTCTCCGATTTAAATGGTGAGTTCGCACTCAACGTTTTGTACGTTAATTGCGAAACATACCGTATATATATATAAATTGCTCCGGGATAAAAGAATTCGATTTGTAGCTTATTCTCGCGAGCGCTGCAACAATTGGGGAGAGAGCATTGTTTGTTTTAATCAGAATAAAATGTAAAACGCGATTGGCGTGACAAAATGTGAAGAACCATGCTCGCGAATATTGATCCCATGTGTCCGGCACAGTTAGCGAAATTTATACGCTCTGTAATAATAAGGTTTATATATGTATATATATATATATATATATATTATATACATATATATACATATACGATATGAGGTTTGTTGGTCACGAAGGGCGCCGTGTTCAGAGCGGGAGAACGAATTGTCAAGGTTGCAATTCCGTTGGGAATAATGGATTAGGTCGGACGAATCGGAAAACGTATCTCCTCATGCAATGTTGCGATGTCTGCAATATTAAACGACATATTGCACACTCATAGCACGATAATTGCGGTGTGACTGTCAAGTTGATTAATTTTCGTAACGCCCAGACCTTTGTGGCACGCCTCTAAATGCGATTGAATCATTTTCTCCTTGCCCTTTCCTCACACACACAGATAATCACTCTTAGTTATGGAATAATTTAAATATTTGCAAAACTTATTGCGCGCTAGAAATAACACGTATGCATACACAATGTCGCGAGCGTTCATTTATGAACACTTGGAAAAGATCATATTTGTGCTGAACGAACAATATATATTAAATAAATTATTCTGACACAGATCAATATTTATTCTAGAATTAAAAACAAAAATGTTTGATAGGCGTAGATTAAAGCAATTTACATATATAAATTTTCGCTAAAAATTCTGCCAATTTCTCTTGTTTTCACAAATGACTCGCTAATACTTCACGGGAATTTTGATCGCTTTGTTTCTCGCATGTGTAACATTCATTAATTCTTGCTCGATTATTTAATACAAAAAGAACATCATGACATGGTCGAGTTGAACGACGAATCTCCGGAGGACTGAAACTACTGCTCACGCGATATCGCGCGTTCTATTCTCGTAACCATTTCACGTCCACGGAGACCAGGCGCATCCGAATGGACGAAAACCGTCCGTCACTTCGGCAATCTAATAAATATCGACGTGTACATTGCGCGCGCGTTGCTACTCTTGCGAGAACTCTCGAGTTGCTCTTCTCCTCTTCCTATCCTTCTTCCTCCTACGAGTCTTCCGCGTAACTCGATATTTGCGGGTCGCGATGCCAAGGTATTACAGAGCCCGACCCAATTTATCCCGAATCCGGTATAACGACTTCGCTTTTGACCGAGTCTTCGTGTGCTGCACCGGAGACAATCTCGTTAGTCGCCGTCATCTACGACGACGCCAATGGAAAAACTAATCATCCGCTACAAAGCCGCGCGGTTAATGGAGTGCCCGAGCAGAGAACTCGCGGTTTTTAAAATTCATGACACGTTTTAGCGACGATCTTAACGAGATCGCCGCTCTTTACACAGTAACTGTCGCGTCGCTTTTATTCGCGGATTCTTTCACCGATTTCACATCGATTTTTCATTAAAGCGTCAAGATACTGATAGTTCTTGGATTTCAAAGGGCTATTAAAAGAACTGCGTCGTCGAATCTGTTTTTATACATTAAGTAAATATTTATCGTCAAATATTACGAATATTAAGAAAAATGGACTAGAAAGTAGATTGATATATTAGAAATCAAGAAATTTAATTTATTTATCACACAATATTATGCAATGGTTCTGATATTTAACAATATTTAACAATGTAAATATTTTAAATTTTTATAATTTGAAAAATTTACGAGCTAAAAAGAACCAGAGCCAGATCGTGACGCCCAATATTCCAATTTATTTATATAATTTATTATTTAAATATACATGAATATACAGACGTTTCAGCCCATATTATATTTATATTGTAATATTTTATTAATAATTAATTAATATAGAATATTTAATATATATAAATATAATTTAGATAAATAAATAATATGGAATATTTATTAAAATTAGAAACGAAAACTTTGTAACTATCAGATATTATAAATCTAATTTTTATTTGAAAAGATATTCGTGCGTTGGATATGTATTTTGTAAAGTGAAATTAGGTGCTTTTCTATGAATGTTCTTTTTGGAAAATTTATTAAATGCGATTTGTATTTGAGGGGGTAAAACCGTCGCTCCATCAGTTCTAAATGGATCTGCCGACGTTTCATATCATAGACTAGGTGGGCACCGACGGCTCTTCTCTCTGTGGGTCAATGCCTATCGACTCTATTTTTACCTCATTGAAAGATAGGAAGGGTCTCTTCAAAGAGATACTCATATAAAATTCTCTTGTTTGGGGAACGCGAAAATTCTTACATTCTCCATACTTTCAATTACATGTAATATGTAAGAATTACCGTAACTTCTCTCTGACGGAAGAATTCTTTTTTGTTTCATAAAGCATTATTTAAAAATGTATGATTTCGTTTCTCTCTCTAAATTAATGTACAATAATTTTATGAAATGTAACTTCTGTAAATTGTGAAATGTAACTCCCAACAAAAGAACTCCCGACTTCCTTGTTTCATAAAGCATAATTTTAAAATGTATTATGCGGTTTCGCTTTCTGAATTAATGTGCAGCTATTGCGAAATTAGATCTGGCAATTTTATCAAAGGCTTAAGTTCAAAATTATGTAAATTTTGCATATTTAAAAGAAGAAGATGTATAAAATATATATGCTGCAAGTGACGAGTAACTCGTATCGAGCATTCTTTCAGACAATATAACATTTTCTCATATCGTTAAACAAAATAAGGTTATCTAGTGAAAAATAATCTGATGTAAAATAATTAAGAAAACTCGGACGCCTTTGCGGTCGCGATACGATTTATGAGCCGTTCGTCTCGACTTTTGATCGTCGACAAAATAGTCGCATTGCTAGCGTCTGTTTCTAGACGAGACGGAATCGGGTTGCAGCGAGCTGCCAAGGATCTCCCAAAGTACATCACGTTGCGATTCCGCGGTGTGAATTTGCCGCCGAGTGTATCTTTATAGAGAGAGGGAAAAAGAGAGAAAGACAGAGATCGAATGAGGCGAATGCCTCGAGTGTTTTCCCGATGCGGCAATCGAGTATGCAACGATGCGACGGGAGCATCTCACAGGGCCAACAACGCGAGTGTATGTCTCTGCTGTAAGCGCCAGATTTTTCCTGGACACGAAAGCGAGGATCACGCTTTCCGCGTTGTTAATCTACTGCCAAGAAATCTATTTGCGGCGACGTCACTACATTTTTGGATGTCCAAGGCCAGAGTAGCTAACAACTCTCTTATTTACCTTTAGTCGCCCTTAAAGCTCGATTTACTTCCACGACACGAGCATCTTCTTCTTCTGATGTTTGCAGGCGTTTTTAAGATCCGCTATCAATCTATCAATTTTTGTAAAAGATATACGCGACGTTAAATTATTTGGTAAATTGTTATTGTGTCAATAAATTGACACTAATAAATAATACATAAAAAATTTATACAATACATACAAATGAATATTTATCTTAGAAAAATGATTCAATAGATAAAGATTTTTTATGTAAAATTTTGTTAATTTTTTATAATTGTTTGAATTAATTAATTTTCATTATATTGCATGATTTTCGTTAATTGTTGTATGCCAAGTTACCGCAATATTTCCGTTTGTTTTTAATGGCACAGGTATCTTAGTTTTACTTACGACGGAAATTAACACTTTGCAACTCGTCAAAAGTGTCGAAATTTTACTTGCATGGCCGATTGCCAATTTCCAGGGTGATTTTCTCTTCGCCGAATTTATTTACAATGACACATGCGCCGCTCATAAATTTTACGAATGTGTTTCGACGATTATTTTGTGCATGTTTGAATGAATGCATTGATTTATCGACACTACGACATTTATTACGAAATACTCAATCGTAAAAAATCTATAAATATTAAATGGAAATAAATCAATGATGAAGCAATTTAAAAAGAAAAAGTAGGGTTTGAAATTTATATTTTTGCAACGATAATTAATATATAGCAATAATTTTTATTTTGTTAATGTAATCAGTAGTTGGCTTAATTATTTCCAACATTTGTTTGCCGGCTGCATTAAAATAATGAGGAAATTAATATTTAAAAAGTGTAAAACTTTGATCATTATATATGTGCGATGTGTATCTCTTTTTTGAATAATTGGAGATTACAAATGTAAGTATCATTAATTAGGATGGAGAATAAGACAACTGGAAGAGAATCTTCTATTTTTCTCCTGACGTGTTACTTTTTTATTTTTGTCTGATTTCGCTAGATTTTTCAGAACGAGAGACACAATTTACGATATTAAATGCAATTACTTTAGACTGTTGAATTCCGAGTGCTAATTTTGTATTCATACGTAATTTTAGAGGGACGTAATACGCCTTTTCAATGACGCACTTCTATTTTTATACTGAACATAGAAAGAAATGAAGACGAGAGATGAAAATTATGTATCTGGGCGTCTTCCCAAATTTCCACATTAAATAGCTACAAATAATTATGATCAGAACATAAATTCACTGTGCTTAAATTCACTGTGCTTAAATCTAACAATTATTTAAAATCTTTAATAAAATAAAATACCAATAATATTTTTATTGATACTTTTTTTACTAGTTTTTTTCCGGTAAACAAAAGCAAGAGAGTTTCATGGTTTACGCAATAAATAGTTATTTAAATATTTTGAACTTTTTTGACTTTAATACTTTTTTCTCAAATACTTTTTCACTTTTTCAAATACTTTTCTTACCTTCCGTCTATCGAGGGATGTTCGGTCGAGCAGGTTCGTTGGAGAAAGAAACGCAAGAAGCGGCAAACGTTATTCCCGTGGAGATATAATCGATCGCTGACTGTATTTTTTTTTCTATACAATTAAGCTCTGTCTGTACGATCGATATTTGATACACTAGCGTACAATGAAGCTCCATCGATATCGCGCCAATTCTAGGAAATCATTTTCCTTCGCGATAAATCGCAAATTGGTTGTCGCTTGAAAGTTTGCGACTGAAATCTTTTAACGATATGCGCTGTGCAAGGCAGGAATGACAGGCGATGTAGTTGTAAATTCGCACGTCGCGCAAAGAATCGACGGTGTTAACATGTTCTCGAAGGATCGATCTCAGTGGGCGTTTTTACTCGTCATTGCGTTTAAGCGAAACGCTCGGTAATTCTATCGCGACATGAGCAAAGATACGTGCCTTCGCGAAAAATATTTCACGAGTTCACCGGAGAATTCAGTGCTTGATATGATGATACGAGAAAACTGCTCTGCAGAAAAAAGGCGAATTAACAAAATCGATAGGATCTCATTTTGCGAATTCCTTGGAATTACATATATCAGAGATTTTTTTCAGAAATTTTTATAGAGAGATCTAAAAATGTTTCTTCATTTTCTACAATTGAAAGACACAGAAGGATACGAGAAAGTATTGGAACTGTTTTGAAAGTGATGTATTTTGCAGAGACAATGTCCTTTCGATTCGCTCTAATTCGTCAATTTTTCTGTGAGGCGGACAGCAATGGCGGAATTGCATTGATGTTGAAAACTAATCGAAGTCGCGTTGAGGTTGGGTGAGATCGCGATAAGCGCGACCACCAACTACCTACCAATTGGTCCTCCGAATTGTTTGTCAATGATTTGTACACGTGTTGCAAATTATAGATTTACTCCACTGCTCATTTTCTTTTTCTCTGTTTTCTCTCTCTCGCGTGCTTACAGCACGCATACACGTTGCACATGCAACGCACGCGATTCACAATTATCTCTCTGTCATTTCTTTGTTTTAAATATATATGTATATGTATATATATATATCGTTTACATTTGTCGCTACGTCCGTCTTTTTATGGCAAAGTATTTCCCGTGCTATATTTTTTTTCATTCTCTCTTTCTTGCTCT